GTCTCGCTTTTGAAATGAATGTAAACTAAGAAAACATGGAATGGTTTATATAGGCTGTAAAAATGGGGTAGTTAATATTTTAGAATATTTGGTTTGAGATTTAGTTTTGAAAAGAAATAACTTTATTCAATCTCAATCACTAAATTATCGTGATTTTATTGTTAAATATTAAATATTATATCTGAATATTCCATTTTTAGAAGACTTAGAATAACAAATCATGTTTATATTTAATAGGCGAATTTAATTACCATAAATTAGTAAATTGTTATAAATTAAGATATAATCCGTTGATTTTGCCTATCATAAATTAATGATTTTGATATAAACGATTTAGATTTAAATGATTAAAGAAATATATACATATTATGGATTTTAAATGATTAAGGAAATATATATTCAAAGAAAATCGAATAGGATAATGATTACTTAATAAATAATTCTTCAATTTTTAATATATAATGAAATGAACTAAAAGTTTATTTATAAAAATCTTACAAATAAAAAGTTATATTATCAAATGTATTTAAAAAATGTTAATATAGATTGATTTGGTTGGTCAAATTAAAAATTAAAATAGTTTAAAAAGTCAACTACATTGAATATTCCATACTACGAAAACATGGAATGTTTTCTATTAAAACAAATATTAAAATACTCAATGTTTAAAATTTCGATCAAGATCTTTATAAAATATTTGAAATTAAGAAAATCTTGCCAATTAAGCTAAATTTTAGGCATTGTATCTTACAAATAAAGTTAAATATCAAACGTAATAATTATCTTTCCTTTAATATTGAAAACCAATTTTTTTTTATCAACTGAAAAATGAACGATGGAGATTAAATCTCTAAACCCGATTAACATATCCGTTTAGTTAGTTAGATCCGCGTGTTAACCCAGTTAGAAATGATAATTATTTCATTTTGAAAATATAGTGTAAATTTATTATGTACTTCAGCTTTAATAGTATAGATTCAAATACAGAAGGAAAAGGAAACCAAGCTTCTTCTTATTGACGACAACGACATGCTCTTAACTTATATGCTGATAAATTCACAACACATGGGAGGATAATGATAAATACCCTTTTTCCTTATTAAAATATTAAAAACAACTCTAATAGATAATTCCATTACAAAAAAAAATCTTGTACCTTTTCTTTCTCATTTTTTTATTCATCCGTTGGAAAATAATTATGCACTTTTCAATTTTAGTTGGCCAAGTTAGGTGTTTATTTGCAGTTAGTTAGTTTCAGAATAAGAAAGAAAAATTAGCACTCACGTAATAAACAAGTCTATATATATATCACATATAAACTATAGTCACATGCAATCTCAAGGTTAAAACGATTTTTGTTCTTCTCTACATCTCATATTTTAATTAATTTCAAAAACAAACCCAAAATCACGTCTAGTCTAGAACGACTTCTCAGAAAATCATTGTTACTGCTAAATCACACTATTGGAACATCCTGTTATCTCGCAGCGACAATGACTTAAGTAGGGGGATCCACAACTTTTAACATTACTTGTTAATTCACTTTGCATAGGATTCCTACATTCCTGCTCCTGAGGAGATGCCATTTTTATGTCTTCTTCTTTTAACATAGACAAATACCCAAAGAAACACATTCATCTCAACCACATCATAATACTATTCAAGGTTTACAGTGCCAGCACGTTTGTTTTTAATCATTACTACTGCTCCTACCAAAAGCTATTGCAAATTAAACCTTGTTCAGAACGCTAACCTAGGATCCACAACTCCTGAAGCATTGCCTTCACCAGTCATAAGCTGTCCAGGGTCCTGAGAGAGACGTACAATTTTCATAAGACAAGTTCCTCCATCTTAAGTGTGACTATAGATGGGAAAAGCTTATAAGTTATATACCTCCATTCCCCATTTGATGTAATCTGGAGACTCGCAGGCCTTATATTCATCTACCAAACTCTCAATTATGTCCCTTGATTCATCAAACTCTGAAAGATCATTGTCCTGTGCATATCAACATGGAGATTCTCATGACTTCAACACTTACATATCAAAGCTGATGGGGGTGAGTTGCACTAAAAATCAACCGAATAAAGGCACATATGTTTGAGCAATCAACTTACAGCAAACATGGGAAACTTCCGGTAATTGTCAAGAAAGGCTTGCTTCTTCCTCAATTTGTCATATTGGCTCAAACATTTGCTGAATAGATGTCTGATACTAGTGTGGCTTGCTAACATGAGACCACTGACCTGAAATGTCATATACACCACCAAAGTTAAGAGGCTTCAGTGTGTCTGCTAAAGAAGGAACCAGCAGCCTAAGACATTAATCGTAAGGAGTACCAACTTCCCAGCATGACAGACATAAATATACACATATATAGAGTGAATGAGTGATATAAGATTACCCTATGGGCAGTTTGAACATATGGGGACTTCTTGGAAAGGGCAACCTGTTGAGATTAAGATATGGAAAAATAATGATGCTGGTCCATGGTCAAGAGAAGAAATAACTAATTGCAGACGCAATTCGATTAGAACCTGTATGCTTGCAGGTCCCCAGTCAATGAAATTAACAAGCTTTCTTTCTCTTATCCTCTGCAAACTCTCGTGCACCTAGTAACAAGTAGTGAAACAACAGAGTAGATCACAAACAAGAAAGAATTAACCAATTCATTCTCAATATGTCGACCAAAAACCTGCTAGGTAAAAGCACCTGAGTGGGATCGACTTCTCCTTGAATTATATTCAATATTGATATGTACTTAGCCTGACTAGCTTCTTTGTTTCTAGCATAAGACGAAACCATGATATTTTTTGTCTGCGAATACAATCACGTTAGACAAACATCTGATTCAAGTTTCGAAAAATGATTTGAGAAAGCAAACAGCTCACCTGTAGAAGTCTTCTCATAACATCCAGAACAGTAGTTTTACGAATGACATTTGCCTGCCAAGAATGATTCACATAAGGGAGTAGGAAATCAAATAAAAATGCCGAACATAACATTTGAAAATTATGTTCAAGATACAATGGCAGCTTCCCATAAAAATATTTTGTGGTAAATATCTAACCTGGCGCTCAACAGTCAGTGGTGTATATCCTGTCATGAGGAAGTGACACCTTGGTGTTGGGATCAAGGACGCAAGCAAGCCAACCAAGTCATTATTCATGTATCCTGGATAACGCAGTGTTGTTGTGCTAGCAGACATCACAGTTGACACCAAAGAATTGGTTTGAGCAAAGGTAGGATTTGTCAGATGTAGACGCTCCACAGCTATTCTATTCAATGCAGTGTTGTCGAGGACAACAACACAATCAGCATTTAAGGTAAGCCGCTTCAGCGTCAACAGTGAGTTGTACGGCTGGACAACTACGTCACTTGTTTCCATCTGATTTGGAAATACACTATATGTCTGAACCAACTTCTTGCTATAGCGATCATTCAAAGTCTCCAATAGATAAGAGCCCATACCTTCATGTGAAAGAAGAAAAGGATCACTCACATCAGAAGAAGCAATGAATACACATAATAAATTTTTAACTCATAAAACCTACATGCCAAGTCCCGGAACTTTACTTATCGTTTAGCAAACATATTTCAAAATAGAAACCATGGAGGAAGGTGTATTCATTTAGCAAACTAGTGCAGAATAGAGACAGAACATGAAGGAAGGTGTATTAAGCTAAATAAAGATAGAAAGTGCCAGGCAAAAAAAAGAAAACTAAAAACCTGAGCCAGTTCCTCCAGCAATAGAGTGGCAAAGGACAAAACCCTCAAGACTGTCACTTCCATCAGCTTCTCGATCAATCATGTCCATGATCTCCTCTTCAACACCCTTCCCCTGGTGATACCCACTGGCCCAGTTGTTACCAGCACCACCGCCATGGTCGGAAAGGAAGATATTCTCATGATTGTAAAGGTTGCGGTAGTCACCATTCTGAATGCCATTGATGACTCTAGGCTCCAAATCAATGAGTAGAGCTCTTGGTATATAGTGCTGGTCATCCGCTTGGTAAAAAAACACATCTTTCCTATCCCCTCCCTACAAGCAAATTCAATAACTAGATATCACCAATCACTCCACAGCTCTATGACAATGGCATTTAAATTAATCGATTATTAGATAAATCTTTTTAGTAGAAATCTGGAAACGATTACGAAGCAATCAGAAGAAGAAGGAAGACCTGAGTAGCGAAGTCCTCGAGAATACCATCTTTACTGATGCCGTGCTCAAGGCAAAGCTGTTTCCAGAACTCCATACCGATCTGGTTCCCACATTGTCCAACCTGCAGCGTTATAATCTCCCTCGGCATCTCTCTACTCCAGAAACTTGTTGTGGGAAAACCCTACTAAAAAAGGTTTCGATTCGAGACTGGTGAAGAAGGTGATGGTGATAATCAATATGATTAGGCCACACTCTCACCTTTGCTCATCAATGAGAAAGCAATTTTACTGTATTACCCAGAATCGCCCTTGTTCAAGTTTGGGAAATTTTTTAGTTGAATTCAAAAATAAAACACAACAAATCAAAAAGCAAAAATCGAAGAAAACGACGTCATGTTTTAAGTATCGTTTTAGTAAAAAACGACGTCGCTTGCTGTGTTTCTCTGATCTACTTCAAATTTAAATGGGCCAGGCCCATTAAAAATAGAGACCAAAAACAGAAGTATCTGCTGTTTAACTCTTCTTCACTTCTTCTCTCTCTGTCCGTGCGCATCGGATTTTGGAAACCATTGATGCAGACCTCAATCCATCTCTAACACCACTGATCTACGGTCTTCCCACTGATATTCTTACTTGTACATTTTGCTTCTTCCTCTTCATCTAACTATGGCCGCCGAGTCTTCTAACCCTCGAACCGTCGAAGAGATCTTCAAGGATTTCAGCGGTCGTCGCTCCGGGTTTCTTCGAGCTCTCTCCGGAGGTAGACCACGCTAACCTCTTTGTGTCTCCTAATTTCTCACTTTTTCTTTTTGGCTTTATAAGTTAAGTTTTTGTTGTTCTTGCCTGTGTTTTTACTAGATGTTGACAAATTCTACTCTTTATGCGATCCGGGTAAGTGAGCTCTTCACACCGTTATTTTCGGATCTGTGTTTGTTTTACCAGTGATAAGCTTCAGAAAGATATGCCCTTTTTTGAGAAATTTGTACCTTTTTGGTCTTAGAAATGGAGAATCTGTGTTTGTACGGACACCCGAATGGGACATGGGAAGTGAATCTTCCAGCTGAGGAAGTGCCTCCGGAGCTTCCTGAGCCAGCTCTTGGAATCAATTTCGCAAGAGATGGTATGCAGCGTAAAGATTGGCTCTCTCTAGTTGCTGTCCACAGTGATTGTTGGTTACTCTCTGTTTCTTCTTACTTTGGCGCTCGCCTTAATCGCAATGAGAGGTACGTATTGCTTTATTTTTTCGTTCTTGCTTGTTTCATGAGCTTGTGTCCAAAGTTAAAAGCTGTCTTTGGACAGTCTCATGAGCTTGTGTCATCACCATTTGTTACTACATTCTATTGTTAAATTTGGTCCTTTTTGATCAATACATGTATCATGTATGTTCTCTCTGAGCTGACATCTTTATATTCACCATCTTGTTAATTATCCTAAAAGCATTATCTGCTTTGTGATTCTATAGGAGCATGTGGTTTAGTCTCCGTTTCAATGTATATAAAAAATTGTAAAGATGAAAATATTCATGACACTACTAGGAATGTCTACTATCTCAGACATTTTGTTTGTACGCATAGTATTTCCCGTTTTGCTAAAGTGGAGAGCGTTGACAAAGGTTTCCTTGGTACATTATTTACTTGGAGGAAAACTCTCCTTGTGCCTAAACCAATTTTGGCTATTCCAGTTTCTCCTTGAGTGTTCTGAGTTTCTTTTATGCTGGTAATGAAGCGTGTAACTTAACAAGTGCAGGCATATGAACTTATTCGATGCTGTTTTGAGTTTCATGTTGCTGGGTCTATGAACTTATATTGTATGTTGCGTTCAATGAGCAGGAAACGTCTATTTAGTCTGATCAACGATCTCCCGACTCTCTTTGAAGTAGTGACTGGTAGGAAGCCGATCAAAGATAATAAACCAAGCATGGATCTCGGAAGCAAATCCAGAAACGGCGTTAAGGTATCAGAATGAACTCCTAATGCTATTTAGTAGGTCTTTACCATCTCAAAACAGGCTTTTCCACTCAAAGACAGAGGAGGGTTTATCAATCTTGTTAGATCTTAATAAATGATTGCAGAGATCAATTGAAGGGCAGACAAAGAGCACACCGAAACTGATGGAAGAGAGCTATGAAGATGAAGACGACGAGCATGGAGACACACTGTGTGGAAGTTGTGGAGGAAACTACACAAACGACGAGTTCTGGATATGTTGTGATGTGTGTGAACGTTGGTACCATGGGAAGTGTGTGAAGATAACACCAGCCAAAGCAGAGAGCATCAAGCAATACAAATGCCCTTCTTGCTGCACTAAGAAAGGAAGACAGTGAGAGAGTGAGTCATCTTTCCCCCTTTTGACCCTTCCTCCATAACATCCTTTTGTTAATTTATGAATACAAACTACTATCTATTGGTGTTAGATTGTCAAAGGGCGGTTATAAATTAGTAGTGAGAGAGGGAGAGACATCAGCTGGTTAGAAAAGCTTCCTCATATTTTGATCAAATATGCCAAGTATTTGTATATGTAGTGCGACTCTACTTTCATCGTTTATGTGTAATCTCTTTTAGGCTATAAAAAAAAACTCTTTATGTATGATTGATCTTCGTAATCTCTCATGGTAATTTTAACCAAGTGGTTGTACTGAAAAAAAATATAATAATTAACTACTGGTGTTTTGTTTTAGTGCATTGGATATATATATATATAGAAAAATCTTTAACGTCTGCAACTTGCTTTAACAGCGAAAGCGGTAATGCAACTAATTTGATCATAACTTGTTTAACATTTTTAGAGACGAATTAAGCCTAAGCCGATCGACCATGACCACACAATTCCTAAAATAGACTTGGCCAAACCAATACAACGAACGCAATACTAAAAAGTCTACATATTATAAGTGTTTCAGTAACCTTTAAGAAAAGAAAATCGAGATCCAGGAGAGTTGATTGAGCCATTTGTTGACTATTCCATCTCTCTGTCCACGTAGTCTCTCCATGGCCGTTTTTAGTTATATATTTTTTCAACATAACTGTATAAAATTATAATCTAATATTTAGTTAAAAAGTAAAAGACCAAAAATATATTATTTGGGATCAAGATTGTAAAATCAAACTGAACACAAAGTAATACATATATATATATATATATATATATATATATATATATATATATATTCTGCATGAATAATAAAATGAATCTATCGCATATGAAAACGGACATGAAATTTAAGTATTCCAAGTCATTGAATTAAAGCCACCATCGATAGTGTGAATGAAAAACGCAAGTTGCATATTCTATAATATTGATATTTCGTAATTCACTTTTATATATTATTATCAATTTATCACAATTGACCCAACTGATGATCGACACTCTGGGCCAAACCACCACTTGAAAGCGCACATGCTAGTTTTTGTATATTTTTATACTGTGTATATATATATAATTCTTATTTCTTATATGAATGAATGAATGTTAAATATCATAGGTAGTGCAAACGTTTGACATATTGTCCCTAATGATTAATCCAAAGAAAACCCAATATAGGAATGAGAGGCTCACAATAGAGAATTTACGTGTGGCTTGGTGTTAGCATATCCTCCACAAGGGTCAGGCGGCCAAGTCTCGGATTGTTTTTTTTTTCCCAAGGTTTTAAGATGTTTATTACTGATCTATGTTCGTTTGTTTTAGGGTTTGGCACCTTTTTTGTATTATTAACAGATTCATAACATGTTGTGTGTGTTTTGGTTATATAATAATATCATGTGACGTTTAGAGTTCAACAACATTTTGTGACAAATCTTTATAGTTGATTAAACACCTTCAATGATCTTGCATACTTCATAATATCATGTGACGTTTAGAGTCCAACAATTATACAATTCTAATATTCTATTATAGTTTTTTTTTTTAACTTTTATAAACTAGATGTATATTAAGATCACTATCAACTTTACCACGTTTTTCAAACAATGACGACGCATTCATTAATTAGGGATGAGATTGATATACTATGTGAAAATTACTTCTTGCAAACAATGATAGATAACTAACCTTTAAAACATAAAACAATATATATATATACTAGTCGGTTGCCCGCGCTACGCGCGAGAGTTTATTATGTTGTTTATGAGTAATTGGTTCGTATTTTATTTTCTACTTATTTTTTTCACTATACCATATTTTATTTTTTAAAACTTAAATTGTGTTTGTATAGAAAAACTATTGAGTTTTAGCTTCATTAGTCGTTGAGAAATTAAGTGTGTATAGTATAAGTCGAAGTGTAGGCGTAAATGGAAGTGCGGTTGAGAATCATTAAGAAACGTGTGCTATTAAGGTTTTTACCAAATATAGATCTAGAGGTTAATATTTTGGGCCCTTTTATATGTTGGCATGAAATTTGAACATGATTTATGGGTTTCGGGCGGATTGTTGTATTTTTAATTGTTTACATTATCTCTTTATATATTGTCATAATTTTTTTTTTTTTTTTTTACATTTTCCTTTTTTGGATTTGTCGTACTTTATATCTCGTAATGATCATTTATATACTATTATATATTTTTCTGATTTTATGTTTTATATATTTTTTTGTTTTTTCATATGGAACAATTTTTAAATTTAACATATTAGTATAATTTACTTTATATTTAGTTTATTTCATTTAATAATGTTTTATTTTAATTTTAAATTTTATGAAATATAGTTAATTTTTTATTTTGTTTATTAGTTTAACATATGTGTTGTGGAAACAAATAGTTAAATTCATATTGGAAACTTTTAAAGAAATATTATTTTTATTTTTACCTTTTTATATGTTTATAAAAAAATAAGAATTCATGTTTCGGTCCGACCTATCTTAATGGATCAACCACACTCGAAAAGACATAAATTAGA